TCAGTCATCTCTCAAATTCAAAATGCGTATTTTTAAAAGGAACGTCAAATGAGGTAAAGCAAAAATTGATCTGACAATAAGTATAACAGCATGTACAAATACTTGTTATTTGTACAAGTATCATATCTTCTTGGCAAAAATTTTTCAGCTATAAAAACTGGTTAGCATAAATGATCACAAAGAAACCTGACAATGCAAATACTATAAATGGTTTAATTTTATATAAGGGGCCAATCAATCAAATGATTCAGTTTTTATTGTAAAATATAAGCAGAAAATAATTCCTATTCAAATAATATTAATGAAATAATTTAAAAAATTAGTTTAACTTTGCTTTGGAAAAATTAAAATTGTTTAATTTTATTTAAGCTTAAAATACCTTATGGATAAAAATTTATAAATCCAGGCATAATTCTAATTATGATATCTGTACTCAAAAGGGTAAAACCTTCTAAAAAGTTGAAACTTGAGTTGAAAATCTGCTGTTGTTCACATCTGAACTATCTAAATGGATCCATCTTTCTGTCAACGTGCTCTATACGTTAGTCAGCATGCTGTCTAAAATAGAATCCATTCTGGAGGTTAATGTCTGCTGAAAATAACATGCTACATTCCTGTGCCAGAACGCGTTCTGTGTAACACCACTGAACATCTTTAGGGAGTTCTTGCCTAGACTTTTTACATTCATGACTGAGAGTGGCTTGCACTAAAATACTAGCCTCTGCTCTAAAATAAATTCACCAAAAAAGTAGCAGCATCAAATCTACTTAGAAATGATCACATTTGCCTCTATATAAGATGATCTTTCTCCCAGACTGTGCTTTACTGAATCTCAAGAGCCCCCCACTACCCCCCGCCCCAGCAGCTTCTGTCCCTGTCTGTTGGCTGCCCAACATTTTACCTTCCAGAGAACAGAGAGACCACAGGATTTAGTATGGGCAATGGGGTAGACCTGGGAAGATGGGGAAGAAATTAGTTTTCTCCTGAAAAGCATGAGATTGTAATACACACAAATATCCTGTAACACTTTTTTTTTTTCCTTTTCTGGTGTTTGATTTGTTCTTATTGCCCAGCTCCCATCCCATTTAAGCAACTATGCCTCTCAGTGCTTGTTAGCTACTATGTAAGTAAACCATAAAATTAACGTGGAAATTCCTGGTCTGAAGCTCCCAGGTGACCCTGACCAGAGTAAGTGCTGCCTCAGTGATCACCTGTGTAAGTTTATGACCAAACACCAGGTGCCGTCCTTACCCAGAACTCTTATTACCCCATAAGAGTAGGCAAAATTTACACTCAGTCTCAGAAACATCGGGGTGAAAATAAAATCCCAAAAGACTGAGATTTATCTCCACTACTTTGATTCAATTAGGACTCTAAATAGAAATCGACCAATAGAAAAATAAAGGAAGCTAAATTTCTGGAACGTAGGAGAAGTGAACTGAGATTCTTACCCACTAGTCAAACAAGAGAACAACTGGAAATTAATGACAGAGAGGCAGAAACATTTCCTTTCGCGATAAACTGGTTTGCACTTTTTGTTGTTGTTTTTTTTTATTTTTGGACGGGGGTGGGTTATGTAAGTTCCACGTGAGTCCTCCAGGTGGCAGGGCCTTGTTGTTCTGCCTTTGCCTCTGGGCACCAGTGTGCATGGCTCCTTTTCAAGTTTCTACAAGAAAGTGGGGAACACACCCTTCAGTGACTCAGACCTCTCCCATGCCCATGAACAAACAGGAATAGACACATGGGGCTGGACAGACACATTGACAGTGCCAGGACTGTTGTTACTAAAGATGACTTCAAAGAGAAAAGAGTCTTCAGAAACCAATTTGAAGAAAGCTACAGCTGCAACTTACCCGTTCGAGAATATGCCTCTGCCTCCCATGCACAATGCAACCATAGTGGGAGGAGCATGCGCACTGTGAACGCTGTAAACCAGTGTTTTTTATTGGTTCAAACTAATAGATGCAATATGATTCCACAAGGAATCTGAGTATTCTGCTACTGAATTCTCATGTAATTTATATTGATTTTGTTGTTTTATTTTCCAGATACCTTAAGGTAAATGTGTGTTGTGCAATACAAATGTATAATTTATTTTATTAAAAGATAGATTTTAGTTTTAACCTTAATAGATTCACTCCCTGTACATATGTAATCTGATTCTATATAAATTGCATTACCCATTATAGAATTGTGTTGTGACATTAAAATTATGGCTCATAGACTTTTCAAGTTTCTGTGACATAATGTGATGTGTTCCAAGCTAAAGAAGACTTTCACAGAAATTTCTAATATGTTGAGAGCTCTCAGTTTTTTTTTTCTTAATGTGAATCATCACAGACACCTTAAAGCAGATACATATTATATAAGTTTATTTGGGGAAAGATAAAAAAAGGTCTTAAGCATATAAGGCATAGAAAGAGAAAACAAAAGTAGAGAAGAAAGAAGTGACATGAATTTTCTTAGAATCATATTGGTTTAGTCACATTTTTATTCTGTGGTTCTACCTTAGTGAAGTGGGATATCTCTGATCCACAAAGCCATGTCTCAGAGTAGTGTCACATGAATCCCTTTCTCAGTGTAACCTGTACTCTTCAAAAGAAAGCAAGTCACCTCATGCTCTTGATCCAGAAAGATCACATATAATTTAGAAGGAATTAGATTGTATTTATGTATTAACTTAGACTACAAATCACATCATCAATCACAAATTCCGATGTAGAAAATATGCCATTATTTTTTCATAACTTTTGTCTTTATCTTGACATCCTCCCCATTTAGGCAGGTGGCAAGAGTGAAATAAAAATACAATTTTATTAGGTTAAAATTAGGATTCTCCTCATTCTTCTATCCACAGATTGTGTCTGAATTTCAAGGATTATATGCCCCTTCAACTAATTGGAAATCAGAGTGAAGGATTTCTGCTCTTGAGATCTTCAGATGGAGGACTTGTCACATTTTTTTAAATGCTATTTTATACTAGTACTTCAAAAAGTTGTGATTTTTGAATCTAACCAATCTTTCTCACCAGATTTTCCTGGTAATTCAATTAAACAAATTATGTCAGTGATCGGGAGTAATTTCCTATCTCCAGTCTATACATCCACATGCATACCAAACATATTAACAACAGAATCAGATTATTGTCTTGATAGATGAGGACAAGGCAACAAAAGAACAATGATCCAAAGAGAAGAACAACACATAAACACACATGCACACACACACACTCACACACACGCACACACAGAGACACATGCATACATGTGCACACACATGCACACACACACAGACACACGCCCACAGATGCACACATACAGGTGCACACACGCACACATGCGCACAGACATGCACACACACACAGACGCACACACATGCACACGCACACACATGCACACACACGGGCACACACATGCAGACTCATGCACACATGCACACACACAGACACATGCACACATGCACACACATGCACACACACACACACATACACACACACAAAATATAAACCAAGTTTGAGTGCAAGTTATGTTCTAAACAGATACAATAGCTGTTTGGCTCATCATGAGAAAAATGTTTAACTTTCCAAGTGACCTGGGTAAGCGACTCAGTTTCTCTGAGTTTCAGTTGGTTGTCTAAAACAGGGCTCTTCGTTCAATTGCTCAGTTATTCAGGCATTCGACTTTTGACAAATATTTCTTGGTGAACTATCACATGCCAAGCACACGCAGTTCTAGAGGCTAAAGATGTAGCAGTGAATAAAATGGTCAAAATCTGTGTTCTCTTGTCGAATGCATCCCAGAAACAAAGGAGAGACAGGTAATAAACAAATATACAAATACATGTATAATACATCGTGTAGCAATAAATAATATGAAGAAAAATAAAGCAGAGTGAGGGGCATAGAGAACAATGGCAGGTTTTTATTTTATTAAGAATGGTTGAAGGATGCCCTTATGAAAAGGTGGCATTTGAGTAGAGACCTGAAGGAAGTGAAAGGACGTGAGGGAGCAAGCCATGTGGGCATGGGGTAAAAATGGGCAGAGAATTTCTGGGGAAAGGAAACAGCTAACTCAAGGGCCCTGAGGTGCTATTTTGCTTGATATGTTCAATAAAGTGGATGCAACTGAACTTGATTGAGAGCGAGGAAGAGTGAGAGGAGATGACAAGAAGGCAACAGTGGGAAGCCAGGGTCTGTAGGGTCATTGACTATGATAGCAGATGGGAGGCCAGGCATGGTGGCTCACGAATAATCCTAGTGCTTTGGAAGGCTGAGATGAGAGGATTGCCTGAGATCAGGAGTTCAAGACCAGTCTGGGCAACATAGTGAGACCTCATCTCTACAAAAAATTGAATACATTAGCTAGTGTGGTGGCACATGCCTGTAGGCCCATTTACTTCGGAGGCTGAGGCAGGAGGATCACTTGAGCCCAGTAGTTGGAGGCTGCAGTGAGCTATGATTGTGTTACTGCACTCCAGCCTGGGTGACAGAGTGAGATCTTGTCTCAAAACAGACAAACAAATAAAATTTAAAAAGTAATAATGATATGGGATCTCACTTCAAGTAAGATCTATTGGATGGTTTTGAGCAGAGGAGAGACATGAGCTCTCATAGTTTCTGCACCATAGGTTAAATGTTAGTACACATGTTTTCTTGTTTTTTCCCTTCTCTTCCTTTTCATCTTCTTTCTTTGCCTTCTCTGCTTTTTAAAACATTCTTTTATTTATTTATTTTTTTTGAGATGGAGTCTCATTCTGTCGCCCAATCTGGAGTGAAGCGGTGTGATCTCGGCTCACTGTAACCTCCATCTCCCAAGTTCACGTGATTCTCCTGCCTCAGCCTCCCAAGCAGGTGGGATTACAGGCACACACCACACCTGGGTAATTTTCGTATTTGTATTTTTAGTAGAGACAAGATTTCACCGTGTTGACCAGGCTGGTCTCAAACTCCAGTCTGTTATTGGGATTACAGGCGTGAGCCACCATGCCCATCCCATTCTTCAATTTATATGAAATGTTTCACAAAGTTTGCATGTTATCCCTGTGCAGGGGTCATGCTAATCTCTGGGTCATTGATGTAAAATTTTAGTACACGTGTTGCAGAAGCCAACACTCTTTTTATTTTCTTCCCCCACCATCCGCCTCCCTCCACCTTCTCCTTCCTCCTTCTTTTGTGTTATTTTTTCTGCTTCATTGTTCTAACCCACAGTTAGAACTGAGTTTGCATCCTGGCTTTGCCACCTGCCAGATGCCTTATTTGCATGTCACAGTGGAGGCCCTATGTGAGTGACTCTGGAATATCACAGGGAATATATAAAAAGACCTGAACCAGCAAGTGTTCTTGAGAACCTAAGCTGCCAGGATCAACATTTGACATCTTGTTCTAACAATGGAACTCTAACTTGCCTTCTAACATATCTTCACAGCAAGGAACCTGATCTGATTTCAGATCTGATGTCTTCCCTCCAGCCAGCTTACATTACCTGTGAATGTTTTGACTCCACCTCAAGTCAATCCACTCTTGTTACAATGCTTGGAAAACATCCCCTTCACACAGAGCCCACATAGCCTTCCAAACTTTATGCCATCTTTTGGTCCCTCAGTCTAGGTTTCCTTTTGATCTTTGCACCAACAGTTCTACAATTTACACGGTGGTAAGAAAGGCAAAAGATGTAAATATTTAGGCTCCGAGGAGCCTGTGAAACAAATATATGGATCAATCTTCCTTATGATTAAGCAGATTAAAACAAAGTTTTCAAGGTGATTAAATTTGGAAATTTGTGTAACTTTTATAATAAAAATCATATCAATTGTGTCTACTGACATTCTCTATAAATAGACGTAAGGTCACTTGTCAAATTGTTTTACTAGGGAGTTAATTCTACCCCTGAGTTTATGTATGTGTCTAAGTAACATATTTTAGATAGTTTTTGGAAGGAGTCAAACATGACTAATGTATGATATGGTAATTATTGATCCATTTATTATTAATTACTTCAGCTGTACCTTAATTCATAGTTAATACACTGTTTTATTTTCTTTACTTTTCCCTTCTTTATTTAAAACCAGATGCTTTATTTTACACACCATAAAAGCTCAGTGCAATTTAGGTGTGGTGGGTAGATATTTGTAAGTGCTTTCTTCCTGCTGCTTTTACACGAATTGGCCAGGTGCAGTGGCTCACGTCTGTAATCACAGCACTTTGGGAGGCAGAGGTGGGTGGATCAGTTGAGGTCAGGAGTTCGAGATCAGCCTGTCCAGCGTGGTGAAACCCCATCTCTACTAAAGATACAAAAACATTAGCCGGCGTGATGGCGCATGCCTGTAGTCCCAGCTACCTGGGAGGCTGAGCCAGGAGAATGGCTTGAACCTGGGAGGTGTAGGTTGCAGTGAGCCAAGATCGCGCCATTGCACTCCAGCCTGGGTAACAGCAAGGATCCATCTCAAAATAAATAAATAAATAAATACATAAATACATAAATACATAAATAAATAAATGTACTTGAGATAATTTCCATGATAAGATTTATTTATTTTCCATAGCTTGTCAACACTAGACGAAAAATCCCAGTTTGGGATTACGGCCTATTTTTTTTTTTAATTCTGTTAAAACTTCTGTAAAGTTGATGAGGTTAAGATTTCAGGATAGAGACTGATCTAGGCGACTTTTTGAAAAATACATAATATTGTTAAAATGGCAATAAACCCTAGATTGATTTCAGATTCAACACAATTCCTATCAGAATCCTAGCTGGTTTCTTTGTAGAATTTGACAAACTGATACTAAAATTGATAAGGAAACTCAAGGGACTTAACAACTGCCAAACCAAATGAAAAAGAAGAATGAATTTGGAAGATCATACTTTCTGATGGCAAAACTTACTCTAATGCTTTTTTCACTTGTAGATATTCAAGTAATGTTGTCAGGTGGTGGTAAAATTAGCCTATTACCTCTTCTCTCTCTCTCGTTTTTTACATCTCTTCACTACACAATTTTAGTCGATAGTATTGTCTTTCATAGTGTTTACCTCTGTACTTTTAAATATGCTGAGACTTCTGTTACTTGAATTGTCCTCTTTACACGATATATTAAATATTTTGAGTCTCAGCTACTATAGATAAGGGAATTGGAATGTATGTTTTATTTTCCTCCTATTTCCCTTTTTCACTTCCATGTTTTAAAACAGATTTGTAATTTTCCTTTAGCTCTTTGGGCACATTTAAGACAGTTGTTTTAAATTTTTTTGTCTGGTAAATGTGCTGTCTAGGCTTCCTCCCAGCCAGTTTACGTCAATTTATTTTGTTCCTTTGAATGAGTCATGTTTTCCTGTTCCTTATTTACCTTGTGATTATTTTGTTGTCATTGCAAATCGGGCATTTCGTTATTATAATGTAGTAACTCTGAAAATCAGATTTTCCTCATTCTTCAAGACTTTCTATTTTTTAATTGTTAAAAGCTTCAGGAATCCATCTGTTTTGAGACATTTTTAAACTATGCAGCAATTATTCTTCTATATGGACTCATTGAAGCCTCTGTTCCTTTAGCTCATGTTCAGCAAGTGCTTTGAAAGAGATTTCCTTGAATGCCAGGAGTCGAAATAGACAAATAAACAAAAACGTCACCCTGCCACACACACACACACACACACACACACACACACACAGACACACACACACAGGACTGAAAAGAAAGAACAACTACCTCTCCCGGTCTACACAAACTGACTTCACGCAGGGTCAGCCTTTCATCGGTTAGCTAGGCTCGCCCTGAGCCTAGGCCTCACCTTGAGGTGAAAGCTTAAGGTCTTCTCAGGACATTTCTGAGTGTGAATCTTGGCTGGACATGCACTTGTGATTCTCTAAAATCCCCTATGTATGTAAACAGTTGCTTTTCAATGTCGTAATTTCCCAGAGTCTTACCCCAGCTTCTGCTCTGGGCCTTAGATGGTCTATTATGCGTGATCTCTTATCCCAGGCATGTGTGGGTTTGTAGTTCCTTACAGCTTTTACGAGGATCTCGTTCTTTGCCTGTATTCCAAATTATGAGAGAGACTAGTGCATCAGTTCTTCAAATAACCTCCAAAAGGTTAGAACAGATATGCCCAGTAATTTGCAAATAAGGTATGTTCTGCTCCCTTCAATTTGAGGATGAGAGGAACTAGAAACTGAGTTGCTTTTTCCATGACCAAGATTACCACTGGGCCAGGGACAGAGTGGAGAAAGTAAAAACACCACAAAAGGTCTCCTACTGTTTTGGAGATACCTTATTGATTTGGTGTTTGCTTGGTTGCTATAAACCTTTGTTTTCAGAGCTCATTCAAAGTTGGTTAAGATCATTTGAGGGTGTTTTGTTGTTGTTGTTGTTATTCAACGTTTCTTTGGAGGAAAAGCATTTGGAGCTTTTTAGTCTGCCATTCTGCTGATGTTGGATTCTACAGAATTCTTAACTTTCCAAATAATTCCATTTGTTTTCATGTTTATATGCATCTTCTGGTATTTTATGTGTAAAAAGATGTGATCGGAATAAAATAATCAAAGAATGCATTGTTTATCGTCTAGAAGTTTAGCTTTATTCCCCACTGAGCCATGAGTAGAATGTTAAATCCTAATGACTCAGGCTCAATGATAACATTTGTCTGTGGAAATTATTTATAAAGTATTTCCTGATTTTGGTAATAGTTACGTAAAACAGCTTACATTGCTGTGCTTGATTTCCCTGTAGAGTTGGTAAATATACTTCAAATACTTTATATATACTTCAAATATCACTTATATTTATTTCAAGTCATAAAACTATTTGCTTTTATTTACAAATATATATATATATCTGTTGGCTTTTAAAAAATATATTTTAAAATACCTAGTAGTGTTGACTTTATGTTTAAAATCCTTTTTTATGTTTTTAAGGATTTCTTGTATTTTTTCTTTTAGAAGAAATGACACTCTTTTTCTGAGGAACTTTAATGTGTGGACATAGGAACTGTCTTTGTGAAGGTAATTTTCAAAATCATGTTGACTTAATCAACTCAATTAATGTTGTAATTATGAAATATCCTCACAAGTAGGCTTTAAAGTTGGTTTTGCTTCCAATTACATTTTCAATTAACTAAGAAGTGCTTTGTGGATAAAAATGTGTCCAAATAAGACCTTTGAAAATAAAGGGGTCATTTTGGAGAATGTCAACCAAGCACTTTCAAAGGATTATTTTAATAATGACACAAGGGTAAACATTAGAGAGAGGCGAGCCGCTCTACGGTGTTGACTGCCCATAGGAGTATGCTAGAATGTCAATGCCCAACCGAGTCAATAACCACTTAATATCATGATAAATCTTTCTACATGTGTCTTTTATAAAAAACAGGAAGATAAAAATGTGTAACGAGATAATCATAATGTTCCTGTTTTTTAAAAGGTATAAGGAGATAATCATTATGTTTCTGTTTTTTTTAAAAAAGATATTATTATAATAAAAATGATATATACTTATTATTAAAAATGTAAACATTGAAAACAAGTATAAATAACAAAACATGTATCATCCCCAAGTTCCACCAATCTGAACTATCCCAGTTGGGGATCCTTTGCATTCTTATGGTAGCAAAGTTTCATCCTCCACTCAGCCTAGTGCCTTGAAAGATGAAAAGCTATGTATGATCTTCCTACCTAAGCTGAGGTCTCAAGGTGAACCTTGAAAACTTCTGCTTCCAGCAGTTTCCTACTCTCGGTGGTTTTATCTTTGTAATTTTCCTCACAGCAGCTGTCAGCTTATCTCAGAATTGAAGGCTATTGGTAGGAATATTCACGATTTAAAAAATAATTTCTATTCTTTCCTCAGTACTCTCTCTTTGAGGTGGGATGGAGGTCAGAAGCTGTGCTACATGTAAAACCACAAGACTTTGTTTATTTATTTTGGTGTTTGTTTCTTTTCAAAGTTTGGGGGGGAGGTTGCACACGACCAGGCTTCATTTCTTGTTTGATTGCAACTGGTAAATTTATTTTAACTGGTTTTAGTCTACATTATGATGAATTCAGCTTGAGATAAAATCATTATAGATTTATCTAGATGCATACATATTAGGCTGTTATACTCTAGCTTTGTGTATCAACATCAAA